ATGAAGACGGAATCCATTAATAGTTTTTTACAACGGTTGGTGCCGGGCTCCATGAGTTCACTGTTTTACCTTTTGCGCTAAACTTTTTCTCTTTATAATGTGCAATAATGGACAAGACGTAGGGAGAGAAACAAGAGACTGGTCACTGTTCACTTTAGCGTAAAGGACATGCCATCCGGAAGGCTAATGTTAACTGCTATATCACCATTATCAGCAGAGGACTGTACAGCTTAAAGCCACGCTGCCTGTCTCCCATACTTCCTTTAAACTACCAATAGATCCGGGCCGTCCGGCCGCTTACTACTCCCTAACCTTAAAATCCTTTGACTTTTTTCAATAGACGTAGTTAATAAGCATCTACACAGCACAGCTGGGCAAGTTGTGTCTTAAAAATGGCTAATGGCTAATCATAAATAGGATTTTTGCAATGCAGTTGTTTGGACACACGTGTCCAAATCTTTTGACTGTATCCACAGTATATACAGTAAACGGGATTATTCCAGCCATTCAAGATTCTAGCTGGTAAATATATTAAGCATAAATACTTGTTAAGAGTCCCTGTAACTGCAGACGAGAACGCGGTTTGGTAGCATAGAAAAGCTGAAAAAGATTCCTTCAAATCACCAGTTTTTGTTCAGTTGTTGTTGAACAGCTATTAAATACAATTTTCCACATTATTACTGTATAATAGTTGTTTGGCTGATGCTCCCTTAGCAGACTAACAATGAACAGCGTTTCTGTGAAACTCTGCCAAACACTTGAAAATCTGCCCCTACTTAACATCCCTGGCAGTCTGAAAGTTGCAGCAGGAAACGTTCTCAGGCCGTGTTTGGGAAATCTTTCTTTGCCATGTTTACAAAGACCTGTCCAAAGCAAATAATACTGATACTACTTTTTCTTATACTGTTAATGGAATCGGTACAGAAAATCAACGCACACGTCCTTTTCTGCTGACCGGAGGTGATGCAATACAGGACATTGGCGGTTGGACGTCAATGAAAAGGTCACTTGTCGTTGCCGGAGCAGCGGCGGTTGAATCCTTCCAGGTGCTTTTGTTGACCGTTAAGAACGCGGCTCACAAAACCAGCAAATCTGACCGCACTATACTTCAACTTAGGTACTGTCATCGTTTGGCAAATGTTGCAGTAAATGAATGATGAATGATGGTAGCTGTGTTCCATTCTCAGATTCTTGGAACCCGGTACTGTGTGTGCTGGGTCGCTGGCAGAGACCTGCGCTCCGCCTGCTACGTGGAGGTTGTCTTCTATTCTCCTGGACACACGGGCAGCAGTAGTTTGGGTCCAATGGGAGCTTATATCAAACCGCAGACCCGAGGGGACCGCTAACTACTGAGAACAGGTAGTTATGGTGTCATCTTCTGAGCTATACGCTTTGCTATTGTTGCTAACCTAGCTTAGACAGCTGTTAACAGTCGCTTGTTAGCTGAGCTAGCTAGGTTGTTGCACTGCTTTATCTGAACGAAAACATGCACAACGATTTCTAATAATATTATTTTGATATCATTAACTGTCGTTGTGGCGCAGAGAGGGTGCGCTGGGAACCTCAAGGTTGGCGGTTTGAGTCCCAGCTGCCCCATGTGAAAGTGTCCCTGAGCAAGACACCGAACCCCTAATTGCTCCTCAGGCAAAAATGTAAAAAGCCATGGGTTAAAAATGCAATGTAAGTCGCTTTGGATAAAAGCATCAACTAAATGACAATGAACTTATCAAGTAGCTCAGCAGCACTCCATTTAAGGCAGAGAATGCCGGTAGTCAAGGTGGAGGACATGGGTGGGGGTCTGAAATAATCTTCATCTTGACACCACAAACCTACAAAGAGCCTCTGCTCATGGATAAACACATTTGGGGTTCATACCATCTCCTACGTTTTGAGGAGGTGTTTGTGACGAAAGACAATAAGAGCTCTAAAAAAAGTATTGCGTGATAACTGTTGCAAATAGGCGAATGCTGGTCTGTTAACCTTGTAAACGGGTCTCGTGTATTTCCCGAGCTCAACTGACCTGTGGATACTCGGAATGAGTGATTCAAGCCAGTGACCACAGCAGTAAGCTGATGGAGGTCAGCGTGGGTGGATGGTGCTTGTACTGACTCTCACGGCTGAGACCAAAATTCAATTCCCTATCTCGGAGCTGTTTTCCCAGGTGCTGTGCCCCTTTTCTCAGTCACCATGTTGACATGTCCTTGCAGGGCAAACACAGGTGTAATAGATGATGTGAATTATGGTCCCATTCCATTTAGCGTGTCACAGCCGTTCCAGTGAGCCGGCATGGACGATCCCAGAGCTCACCTATAGTTAGTGTTATTAATGGCACCCGTGTTTACCCTGCAAGGACTTGTCAAAAAGGCTGCCGGGAACGGGGCCCATCGTCCAATGCTGCTTGACGAAAACATCTTTGGTCATTTAAGAATGTCCTACTCAGAATTCAGTGTCACTTGGCTCCACCCGCTCAATTCGCATTTGCTTCCAAAAGAACAAACGGCGACTGAGAAACGTTCCACAAACCAATGGGCGACGTCAGCAGAACGTGGTGAGCGATGCTTTTTCCTCAACACAGATTTGTCCAAACAACAATATATTCAGCGGATTTGTTCAAACATCTATCACGCGGGGAGAGAAAAAGCGGAAACCGCCACGGTGAGCTGCTGGATGAGGAGATGCAAATGACAGGCTCTAGTGCGCTGTGTGAACGGGCACTTCTCCAACACGTCGTCAAGGTAAACAATGCCTTTTACCTGCTAGCCTGTGTAAACCATCCCGACTGTGCCAACACCGTTTCAATGCTCGTCGTTGCTTCTGTCTCAGCGCAGTGCAAATATCTTAAAACCATGCCAACAACTTTATTAGTCAGTTGTAGGTGCTGAAACTTGGCTAATCACACGATGGTTGTAAAGCCATTGCACGGATGAGTCATTTGAAAAAATCTAATTATAATTGTGGCCGCTTGTGGTTGTAGTAGAAGTATATGAGAAAATGGCCGTACATCTCACTTAACGTATACATTGTTCCAAAAACGTCCACTTTTAATGATCTAAAGTGTTAAATCCTTCTTTGGGCCGCACACACAGGCACGGACACGTGCCAATCTCAGTATTTAACAGCACAAGAATCCAAACCATGTCACAGAGCCCATCAGCAATAATAAAAAAGGAGTGGAGAGAAGTGTTGAAGCTCATCCTCGGGACTGAGGGATACGGATGAGAGAGGTGGTAAAATGCCTTGAAGTCATACAGAGGAAATTGGCTGAGCAGCTGCCCACTAATGCAGAGTCATACTCTTTTTGATAGGATTAAAGCCCATTGGTTCACTAGGCATATATATATATATATATAGAGAGAGAGAGAGGGGGAGTGGGAGCCCAGTCAGCCAATCAGAGGCAGGGGAATATAAGGGCCATTAGCTGCTAAAGGATCTAACAGGCCTACCTCCATATTATACTGGGTTTTTTATTTGAAGGGAAAGGTTTCATGCAGCCGCGAGATGCTGGTTCAGGCACACAAACTGCTAATGGTCAGAGGTCGTTTTGATCAGATAATACTCGAACGTGGCCTCGTCAACCTCTTATTAGTCACACGACAATTCTTTTGGGAAAACCGAAGGACTCCCCTTTTGAAAAGCTTTCAAGTTGACCTTTGTTCAGATTGTCTTTTGATGAAATTTCCCTTTCATACTCAGACGCAAGAAAGGGTTGGCTGAGTATTGGAAGCAAGCCGGAGTCATAATCAAAATACCAACACGATTAACTTGGTCCCCGCACAAAAAAAAAAAAAGAGGGCATGACTTGATAAACGGAGGAATCAAATGGCACAAATTGAAAGATACGGAAGCTCCAAACCCAAAGCAGACTGAGGGTCAACATCTAGTTCTGTATTCCTATGAGCGCTTCAGTTTCACACACACACACACAAAGTATACCTAGTTTTATTCAGTGCGGTACACTGATTGTTACTCCCGTCTATATTAAGTTTGAGTACTTCAAACCGAAAAATAATTCAAACGAGGTTCATCAATTTGTTCCTGTGGATAGAAGATGACCGAGATGACATTTCATCATTCCAATTATTGCCCAAATGCCCAGATGCTCGTACATCTTGTGCTGCTCATTGTTGTGTGTTAGACGTGTTGTCTGGTGCTCAATACACTTTTATGGCTTTGACGGACACCAGCTTAAGAACCCATCAACGTGATGACACGTAAGTAAGTGGTCTCACAGTGATCAAGATGGAGCTCAGAGGGGAATGGGGGGGGGGGGGGGGATTATAGCATGTTTTTTTTTTTGCCCCCCTCCCCTCCAACCTCCACCTGCGGGTCACGTGGCACACTACACCGCGGTCCAGGGTTGAATCTCGCGGGGCTCCTTCGTCACAGTAATGGAGAGCAGACGGGCCCGTTGGGGTCTCTCCCGATTAGTGACCTGTCAAACAATCCAACAATGCACGGATCAGAGGTCGAGGCGACGCGGGAACTTTTCACGCCTGCTTGTTGACGGCTCTGCCGCACATGCGCGCTCATGGAGGCTCCGGGTCGGGTTTAAAAGAGCCTTTCGTTCGCAGTCTTGAAGCCTTCTGAGGCGCCACGAGGAGAGAGGGATTTAAAACACACACACACATATATATATATATTCATATTTATATTTATATTTATTTATATGTACCAGGGGGACCTCGGAAAGACACCAGCCAGGCGCGCTTATTTGCCTCCCAACGAATGTTGCTTTAAGTGCGTGTGCCTGCGTGCGCGCGTGTGGAGTTTTCCCGCACCGGGCGGTAGGAGGGGTCGAGGAGTGACGCTGGCTGCGCCTCCGTGCTGAGCGTGGCGCTTACCTGCAGAGGAGAGAGCCGCGCACGGGAGGAGAACTCGGGGACGAGCCGCCGCCGCAGCAGCAGCAGCAGCAGCAGCAGCAGCGCAACAGCGACGGGAAGCGCAGCAGAGGAGAGAGAGAGAGAGGGAGAGAGAGAGAGGGAGGGAGGGAGAGAGAGAGGGAGTGAGGGGGACGAGTAACGAGGAGGGGAATTAACTCGCGCCATAGACCGGAGCGTCAGTACGCATCTACCCGCTGTTATTTTTTGGTTCCCCGTGCAGGCAGCTCGCTCGCTCGCCACGATGAGAAGCGACTTCGCGCTGGTTCTGACTGCGGCGCTTCTGCTGGACTCGTTCTGGGTGAGATCTCTTCCGCTGACGTTTATTGGGAATGCTTTTGGAGCAAGTTGTGAGAGTGGGAGAGGTGTGTGAGGGGGCTTGAGTTTGGAGTGCATGGCCCGGTGGTCCAGTGTCGGTGCTCGGTGCCGCAGCGGCGCGCGGCGCTGCGCCCCGGTCCACCGCGGGTGCGCCAATTGGTCTGAACGTTCTAAATAAAGTCCGCCTGCGACGCTCGTCCGGTTCGTCTCTGGACCCGTCAGCGGGTTCATCAGCGGGCTTTTCACGACGCGACCCGAGTTCCGAACGCTTCCGAACCACTCGAGATGACGCCTCTTCATAGTGTCCATCAAACCAATGTGCCCGTGAGGGTTATTTCAGCTTAATCTCTCCCTCTGTGGGGCCCATTTGACCCCCCCCCCCCAAAAAAGCATCCGCCTACAACAAGTTCACCTTTTAAAGTTGCGAGGTGCTGTTCCAACCTCCCCTCGTCGTTGGATCGGTAACACGAGAGTGCGCGCCGGCGGGCTCGTCGGTCCCCGTGAAACGCGCCTTTTTGCGGCTCTGCAGCCTTTATTCTCACGGATTTCTAGCAGAACCACGCTCAGACATCCAACCCCCCCCCCCGTTATTCATTCTCCCCATAGGGGAAGAGCAGAGTGCGTTGTGCCTCCTCTTCTCCAGAGAGAGTGTGTGTGTGTGTGTGTGTGTGTGTGTGTGTGTGTGTGTA